GAACAACTTTACGGTAAGGGTGACGGAGCACTGGAACAGGCTGCCCAGGGGGGTTGTGGAGTCTCTTTCTCTGGAGATATTCAAGTCTCGCCTGGACACCTACCCGTGCAACCCGTTTTAGTGAATCTGCTTTGGCAGGGGGGTTGGTCTCGATAATCTCTACAGGCCCCTTCTAACCCCTACAATTCTGTGATTCTGTGAAGTCTTATTGCACTTCTTTGGACCTGCTCCAGCAACTTAGTGTACAAAGGGACTTGGACAAGCTTGAAAATTGGCACGAGAACCTAATGAGGTTCAACAAGGCCAAGTGCAAGGTGTTGCACTTGGTCAACGCAATCCCACATAGGAGTACAGACTGGAAGAACTTGTTGAGAGCAGTGCTGAAAGGAAAGGAGAAGGACTTGAGGGTCCTGATGGATGAAAAGCTGGATATGAGCCAGCAGTGTGCTCTTGTAGCTCAAAAGGCCAACAGTATCCGGGGCCGTATCGAAAGAGAAGCAAGGAGAAGCAGGTGATTTTCCCTGTGTGGAATACTGTGTCCAGTTCTAGGGGCCCCCAATACAGGAAGAACCTAGAGCTGTTGGAGAAGATCCAGAGGAGGGCCACAAAGATGATCAGAGGGCCAGAGCACCTCTCTTACGAAGACAGACTGAAGGAATTTGCCTGTTTATCTTGCAGAAGAGAAGGCTCTGGGGAGACCTCATTGTAGTTTTCCAGTACTTGAAGGGAGCTTATAAGCAAGAGTGTGACTGATATTTTATGTGGTCTGATAGAAATAGGACAAGGGAGAATGGCTTTAAACTAAAAGAGGAGAGAGAACGTTAGATGTTAGGAAGAAATTTTTTTATTCAGTGTGGAGAGGCATCTAAACAGGTTGCCCAGAGAAGCTGTGGATGCCCCATCCCTGAAGGCAGTCAAGGTCAGGTTGGATGGGGTCCTGAGCAGCCTGGTCTAGTGGTTGGTAACCTGTCCATGGGAGCGGTTTGGAACTAGATTACATTTAAGGTCCCCTCCAACCTAAAGCATTCTATGATTCTATGATTTGCATTGCCATTACATGAAAAACACAAATTTTGGATGTTAGCAAAGTCAGATTTACCAAGTCCAAACTTAGATTCAAAAGTTATCTATTGCGTCTTGCATGTAGTTACGTTTCAGAAGTAGAGGTTGTTTCAGGTCGGATAATTCAGTTATTCATCCAATTTTTATTGTTTTGAAAAAGCCTCCTTAAAGTAATTTCCATCTGGGATCCATGGACCTATGTATCAGCTCAGACAAGTTAAATCTGTATGTCAGCAGGACATATAGTGCATACTGTAGATAATTCTCATAGAAGATTTAGAGAAGCATAATTAAATTGCATTCAGTATCACAAAATGTGAATGTGCGAGAACATAACAAGAATCTTACCTCTGCCATTGTAATGCAGAGAAAAGATATTTACTTATGGTGATCTAATTATAATCTAATGTGGAAACTCATTTATTAAAGATTAATTATAATAAACAAATGCTGTTTATAGCTGCAAGTACACCATTAAGCACAACACAGTATAAAATCCAATGAACATATGGCATTTGCAGAACCAGTAATGCCACCAAAAACATAGCAGTTGTCAAATTTTATTAGTCTTATGATAAACTACCCGTGCACTGTAATTATATGATCAAGATTGTCAGCCAGCTCCATTATCTGAGCTCCTTTTTCAATTTGAGTCCCTTGTATCTTGGAAGGCTTATTATTTATGAATACTGCGCTGTTTTACTAAATGTTATTGTAGGGATAGGGAGTTGAGAAATTCTGTAGTAATACTGCAATAGAGCAACAATTTATGATAGGCATTAATTTTGTCCTGTTTCAAATTGTACTGACTTATGTATAGTTCTTAGCAAGAAAAAATAGCCCAATGCTCCTTGGGTAATGAGCTATTAAGCTCAATGTGTGAACTTACAGTGTCCTTAGAAATAAAACATTTACATTTAATTCTCATTCATGTCAGAGGTTAACAATTTCAGAAGTTAGTAGCTTCCATGTAGCACAAGTAATCAATATTATATTGTTTTGCAAGTTGAAATTAACATAAAAGTCATCTTAGAAACAGATACCAGTAGCACTCAAATTAAACAAACATATAAATAAACAAGAAAGATCCACAACTTTTAAACAAACATAAAAATAAACAAGAATGACCCACAACTTTTCAGTAATTGAGGAACAAATAAATTCATAAGAATTAAAATATCACTTAAAAAATTATGAAGTTTTAGAAGACAGTTGTAATTATTTTTGTTACATAATTGTAGTCTGGAGATGTAATACAAAACCTCCAAGAGAAAAGTTGTAATAGTTGCAAGAGCAATTTGCAGATAATTCCTGGGAGGTTGAAAACAAGCAGTAATGGTCATGAAATACCAAACATACTACATCCAAGTGGGAGATGAGCACAGTTCTGAGCTTAGAAGATAGTTCTAAATGTCTTACTTGCACTCTGATGTATCAGCACAGGCCAAAATTATATCTCATAACATTCTCCATTCAAAGTCTCCAGTCTTATGGAAATAAAATTTCTTCAAATTATTGAACTTTAAATATTTGTATCTGTTCAACTGACACAAGAAAACAGTTCTTCGCACACTGGAACAGGTTGCCCAAGGAGGTTGTGGATGCCCCATCCCTGGAGGCATTCAAGGCCAGGCTGGATGAGGTTCTGGGCAGCCTGGTCTAGTGGCTATTGACCCAGCCCATGGCAGGAGGATTGAAACTAAATGATTTTTGAGGTCTTTTTCAAACCAGGCCATTCTATGATTATACAATTCTATGATTTTTATACCAAAATGCTTTCTAGAAAGGGCTCTGCAGAAGTTCTGCCTGTAATTAAGTGATTGTAGTAGGAAAAGCTATGGCATACATAAATAAACAAGAACAAATCACCTCACAGGAATTTATCAGATGAATTCCCATCAAAAGCAAGCAAACATTTTTCTGAAACTGCATGGAAACTTATACTGCAAAAGAATAAACACAAGTAATTTTTAAAGATGTTTCTGGGTGCATGCAGAGAACTACATCTCCATAACTCTTCAGTTTATACCGAACTGAAACTCTAATGACCAAAAGAAACTCTGAAAAACTGATGTACTGCATAGAAGGAGAACATAGATATTGATCCAGTAGCTTATGAATGCTTTTCTCTTTGAAGAAAAAACAAATATTTTAAATCCTGCTCTTCCATTGCAGCTTCATTACACAATAATCTATAGCCTGGAGACACATGGGAAAAAAAGAAGAAAATAAGTCAGTTTAAGACTGCAAAGAGATGAAGGAATCTGCATCTGTTATGTTCTAATAAACTACTGTGTGAAATAGAAGCAAAACTCTTCCTGTTCTACTCTACATATTAAGAGTGAGGACAGTTAATCATGAATGGAGAAAGCAGCCTCCCTAGAGATCAGTATTGTCTGAAGTGCAATTGCACTGAATAGATATTTCTCACTAATGCCTATCTAATTGGTTTCTCACTCTACATTCTAATCTTTGTCAATCTCAAATAAATAACCTTGTTTAGGAAGCTAGAAGTCTAACAAAATGACTGGGATTTCAGTTCACAACAAACATATCTGAAAAACAGGCTTAAGAATTAGGTACTGCAATAAGTACAGTGTCTAAATTCCTTCCTAGATCTAATCCCATACTGATTTCAGATAGCACTTATTCTGGTTTCTTTTACATCTGTTAATGGAGTAAGTAAATCTTACTGAAAGTGTTTATTATAACAATGCTTCTTAAACGTACTCTTTATCATTTCAAAATGAGTTATTCAAAAATAAAAATATACCTGAAGCATTTATGTCATACGATAAATTTTGAAACTACAATAGATTTTACTTTTAACATAATTGCCCTAAGTTATTTCATGAAATTGGATTGGCATCTTTTTGAATACACAGATTTAATTGCTTCTGTATAACAAGCAAGCAAAGAATAAGAACCTTCAATCTACATTTACTTCCCTTAACAAAGACCTAATAAATATGACTTATACAGATGAATTCATTAACTGTTAATAGTAGATTTTTTTTTACTTTTTACTGTCACAACATTTTAAATGATACTGAATCTGGTCAAAAAATTTCTGTAGGTGTGCCCATACTTTCAAAATTTAATTAAAAATAGCATTCCATTAATCTTCATCAGTACAATCACAATCAGCTCTAGTAAAATAAATTTTATGAAAAGGTTACTTCTCTTCCCTAAAGTCTTTTGCCACCTTTTGTTCTTCCACATTCTTTTATCGCCTTGTCAGGATATCAGTTTTAAAAGTTCATGAGGACCAATAAAACCCTTTAGAATGACAAAAAGAACAAAACCAATTCTAGCTTCTTCACATTTTTGTATTTGCATTGTTTCTTTGTTTTTAAAGCGTTTTTTTCTTACCTCTTCCCCATCTCCAGAAGTTGAATACTGAGGATAAGAAGTTGAATACTAAGAAGTTGAATATTAAGAATAATCTAGAATAATCTGAAACAGTACAAATAGGTAAAATCTAATTAAATACCTCAAATTTTTAGAATAGAGCACTACATTAGACAGATGTCTATTTATATATTTCAAACAGTTGTCACTTCACTAAGACACAGATCCTGTGTCATGTCTGTTAGATCACTTTCAATGCTGATGCAGCTGAATGGTGCCCAGGAATAGTAGTGACTGTGATTTTAGTATTTATCTTTCAGAACCACATTAAAAAAAAAAGGTAAGTGGAAGTAATGTCAAGTGTGGAGGAAATTCCCCCCTTGTGCAATACTATGCCTACTTAGTCTTGTGGTCTTACAAAACTAATTCTTCTGTCCACAGCAATGTAGTGAAAGATCTGTCCTTGTCACGGGGTTATCCTTAGGTATAAGTTCATAACGGGGGCACAGGCCCAGGGAAAAAGAAAAAAAGAAAAAGAAAAAAAAGGGAACGGAACGGATATTAATGGTTTGTCCCTACCTGGCCGGCCCTGGGCCGACTGTGCTCCGGGAGAGGGGGAAGGGCAGAGAGCCAGCAGATAGTTTTAACAAAGAGAAAATACAATGGCAACGATTTTGAGGAGGAGCGGTAATTTCCTTTATTTAACTAAATCAAACAAAACGAAAGAGACAAGAGTATCCAAAACGTGAGTCAAACCACGATGGTGCGAGGGAAAGCACGTGCTTTTCTCCACGCTGAGCAGAGACAGCTGAGACTGGGCCAGAGGGAAATAGGCAGATGCTCGGGCCCTGTCCGGAGCTCTGCCCCACTTCCTCTTGCCGCCAGATCCTCCCCTTCCCATACTCGAAGTGCCCATAAAAGGCAGTAAACGGAACCAAAACATAAACTCCTTAACTCCCACTGGTTCACATGATGTTCTGTTGTGGAATACTGATAACAAAAAATGGCAAAACCACAACAGTCCTGATGTCCAAAATCCAGGGATCTGAAGGACCTGATTGAAGTTCACTACTGCAGAGGAACTAGAGGCCATAGAGTATGTCCCATATATGGTCAGCAAGCCCAAAAACTTTCTCTGCAATTAAAACACATTTACAGGAAGATCAACTCGTCACGAGTGGTATTCCCCAGGGGTTGGTGCTGCGGCGTATTCTCTTCAAAATCTTTACTGATGAGGGCATTGAGTGCACTCTCAGTAAGTTTGCAGATGACACCAAGTTGGCTGGAAGTGTGGATCTGCCTGGGAGTAGCAAGGCCTTACAGAGGGATCTGGACAGGCTGGATAGCTGGGCTGAAGCCAATGGGATGAGGTTCAACAAGATCAAAGGCCGGGTCCTGCGCTTTGGCCACAACAACCCCAGGCAATGCTACAGGCTTAGGGCAGAGTGGCTGGAACACTGCATAGAGAAAATGGACCTGGGAGTATTGATTGATGCTCGGCTGAACATGAGCCAGCAGTGTGCCTGGGTGGCCAAGAAGGCCAATGGCATCCTGGCTTGCATCAGAAACAGTGCTGCCAGAACCAACAGGGAAGTGATTGTCCCCCTGTACTCAGCTCTGGTGAGGCCGCACTTCGAGTACTGTGTCCAGTTTTGGGCCCCTCGCTGCAAGAAAGACATTGAGGCCCTGGAGCAGGTTCAAAGAAAGGTGGCAATGCTGGTGAGGGGTCTGGTGCACAGGCCTTATGAGGAGCAGCTGAAGGAGCTGGGATTGTTCAGTCTGGAGAAGGGGAGGCGCACAAGAAACCTTATTGCTCTCTATAACTACCTGAAGAAAGGCTGTAGTGAGCTGGGGGTCAGCCTCTTCTCTTATGTAAGTGGTGACAGGACTAGAGGGAATGGCTTCACGCTCTGCCAGGGGAGATTCAGGCTGGTGACATTAGGAAATATTACTTCTCTGAAAGAGTGGTCAGGCACTGGAATGGGCTGCCCAGAGAGATGGTGGAGTCATTGACCCTGCAGGTGTTCAAGGAACATTTGGACATTATGATGTGGGACATGGTTTAGTGAGAACTATTGGTGATAGGTGGATGATTGGACTGGATGATCTTGAAGGTCTTTTCCAACCTTGGTGATTCTATGATTCTATGATTCTACGAAGTATGGATATAGTGAAAAGATGATGTCAAACTTCATAAAGAAACAAGCAACAAGCAAAACGTGACAGATCATTATACCAGTGCACCAGATACAGCAAAAAAATAGAAGTAGATTTTTTATTTACTGCATTTGATAAAAGAAATAAAAAATAGTGTAATATAATAGTTATCTAAATCTCTCAATATGAAATATTACAAGTGGTGTTACTAGAAAAGTTTGCTGACTACTGATAAAGCAGGAAGAGGTGCACAGAAGTGATGAGCACTTAATCCCTTTTTCTCATACAGTTCTTTTATCACTGACATTTCAGTCTTCCCAGTTATCTGTGTTAAAAATATAATAAAATGTCTGTATTTAAAACAAGTGCTGGTAGAATGAAGGCTGGCTATAAATAGCTCTGAAGTTATGTAAAACTCAGAATCTTAGGACTGCAAGACAGTGACAAGTCTGCTGGCTAGACCATTCTCTGAGATTAGGTTAACTGAGCAGGACATGACATGACAAGACATGAGAAATTGTTGGATGTGACAAGTAACAGTGTGATGACATAAATTGAAGACAGCACCATGAGGCATTGCAAGTGTGTACAGGTAGTTAAGGCAGAGTTATCTGAGAAGGGGCTGAGCTTCGCAGGTAATTGGAGAGAGTACTGAAGACCTCTGGGATGTCAGTATATAGGCCAGCAGTGACTAGACAGCCACATCAATAATAACCTGCAAGGTTATACGGGGAATAGTAACACGAATATCCAGTTTGGTTAAAGACAAAGCAAAACTGGGACCAACAGGGAAAAAAATGTAATTAATAGTTGTTTGGAGGCATTGAGACAGAGAAAGAGAAGTAGAGGAAGGTCAAGAAAAAAGCAGTAATAAAGTATGCTAATCTTGAGATCACTGCTGTCTGGGGACGCCTGCTGGACTGATTTGCCATAGACAAGGCCTATCACAATGAGCATAACACAAAAGCAGGACGGCCTGGGAAGGGTTCTTGCTCCTTACAGCATCTGCTTCTCCTCCCATCATTGCTAAAAACATTTAACAATTTTTTTTTTTAAACAATAACATTTTGACACAAATCTTGCTATGTTAATTAATGCAACTCAGATTTCCGCATTTCAGTTGTTGATGTAAGTCAAAATAAGAAAAAGGAACACACTGGAAAAGTGATATGGTTCAGAGATGTCAAATTAATACTTCTCTTAAATTATCTCAAAAAAAGTACTACTATTCATGATTCAGAATTCCTCCACGCACAAGTAAAAATTTGTACATCTAGTATCAAGATACTTCTTTCTTTACTGCCAAACAGATGGAGATATGAAACAGGCAAAAGGTTATATAAAAAAAATATGGTGCATATATATTAGATGGAATAAAGCACTAGAAAAAAAAATGCCAGAGATCTGAGACACTTCATTTCTGATATTTAAGGAAGAACTAGGATTAGTCCTCAATTAATTGCAATTTTTTAACTAGAAACAACTAAAAGTAGATGTAATAAAATAAAAGTTCCCATACTTTCCAGCTTCTACAATTTATTTTATGCTTTTAATATTACATTGGTCACTCTGAAAGTAATGTCTCTTAGTTATTTGCATGAAAAATACATCAGATACAAAGAACACAATAACAATATTGGATAGAGAAAATTCTTAGCTACAGAACACTATTTTTCATCAGTCACACCATTAGCTACACATTTTCCCCAGAAGTGAACAGGAGCCTGTATGTATGCCCATAAGAATCAGCACTAGCAGAGGTGACTGACTGTTGGCTGTCAACATTGCTAAAATGCACCACCACCACTACTTCGCTGTGTTCACATCCATTGTTTGGTCTCCATAAATGTGAAGAAAACATCAATGAATGTAAATGGATGCTTTTTTTTTTTTTTTTTTTTTTTTTTTTTTTTTTTTTTTTTTCCCTATATGGAGGAATTCAATGATACACCTTTGTTTCATATGCACTTCCATGTGAGACGTTTTGTCAGACTGCCCCTCTGCAGCCATCTGTCATATGGCAACAAAATGTAATGGAATATTGTTGGGAAGCCTCAATCTCTACTGTCATAGCATCAGCATTCACCTCTGATATCATGGGCAAACATAATAAAATAGGAGGCACTACTTTCAGAACATCCCTTGTGTAAAGTACTATAAAGAATTCGTTCATAACTTTAACATACTCAAGAAAGAAAGAAAACAAATGAGAACATGGAATACAGAATATTTCAAACTTCGTATACAGCACGGGACATACGGTAAAAAAGGACACTATCTTTAAATTACTACATAATAATTTCTATAAGATATTATAAAGGAAAATATGTAGGCAGATTAAAAAGAAAAAAAAAGTCCTTAGGATGTATAAACTCTCTTCAAGTGCAAGAAGGATGATATGTGTCATGGTTTTGAGATTTTTCGTTTTCGGTACTCCATAACACCATGTAGTGCACTGGGAGTTAAAGTGTTAATGAGCCAGTTCCGGGTATCTATCCCTGTATATTGTGAAAGTCATGGGGTCTGGCCCTTCCTGGTTGGGCGGTCTTCTTACTGCCTTGCAGTGAGTGCTGGACGGTGCTTTCCTAGACACACCGAACCTTTCAGGTTTGATTCGTTCTTAGGAACTCACTCTCTCTCTCCTATTTCATTAATTAGTCCGATATCATAATCAGTAAAATAAGTTTTCCTCCATAGATAGTTGCCACTGCTTTTTTTTTTTTTTTTTTTTTTTTTTTTGTCTTTCTTGAGCCCAGCTCCCATCTCCCTATCCCTTTTCCTTCCCATTTTGTGGGGCCAGGGGGACCCAGGGGCTTATGGCCACTCTGTCACAGGCATAGACTGATCTAGTTAACTCCGTGACAATATGTTACAGATCTGGTATAATGAATATCTGTTTTTAATGTATATATAGAAAGCATTCACCTAGCTAACCATCGCTAGCTTCTGTTTCCTAGTAAGCATGAGTTATATTCATAAAAATTGTCACATTTCATCAATTCTGACATTGAAAAATCATTTCCAAAGGACTTTCTGAATCAATGTTACTTTTTTGCACAATGTCAGGAGACATAAGGCCTCAACAGCACCTCAGTGGTACACTGCTTGAGACATGGAAGAATGTGCAAAAGGTGGTGACAACTCCAGAGCTCTTACGCATGCATTACATTTTTTTGAAACAACAATAACAATGAAAAAGGAATTGTTTGAGAAAGACTAAGAGAGAACTGAAATGACCTAGACTTATCTATAAATTTCTTTGTCTGTTTTTGAATGTATCTTTGAACATATTTTGAACATTAATAGGCTTGCATTTTTGTTTTTATCAACAGAAATACCGAAAACAACATTTGATGTTAAAAAAACAACTAAAAAGTCAACACAAACTTCACTGTCATTTGATCACTATTAGATGGGCTTTCAGCTCAGAAGCTGACTTTGTGAAGATGCATAACTCATACCTGTCCTGAGTAATGTTAGCTCATGTAACTGACTCTTTCAGTTTATCCGAGTTCTTATTTAATATTTTTATTTTATTTAGGTTTTTCAGCTATTAGGATCCTCACTCTCATGCGTGAAAGTATTTATTTTCAAGTACAATAAATTTATTTTTTTCTATAAGTGAAAGTAAGATAATTAAAAATATTGAACCTGGATAACTGTCAATGGTTTAAAAGAGAAAGCGGAATCATTTTTTTTCCTTGTCTTTACAGAAGCAAGTTAGCAGTGCTCAAAGTTTACAAATATCCCAGAATATTGGCAGCCCATCTGGACTTTCAAGGTCAAGTTTTCAGTGAGTACCTGTGAAAGAGATAAACTTTCCCAATGAAGCTCTCCGAGAGCAGAGAGGTTCGTTCTAAAAAGCTAAAAAGCAGCTTCTGCCCACATTCTCCACCAAGAACGTCAATGGTTTACAGGCTGGTTCGGCCCAGTTCCTTGACCAGTGGAGCGGAGGGATTTCGCAAAATCTGCGCCTCC